CGGTATCGTGCGCCTCATTGCATTTATGATGAAATGCTTATTTTAAATTGAAAGAGGTAAAAGCGGAATTTAGAACAGAGTCATGGATAGGGATTGTTTGTGTGGGTGCAGTGAAGACCGCAAAAACCAGTTTGGAATTTCCAAAACAACCACACGCCTAAGCGATACTGCTGCTTAGCCGTGTATGTATATATAACATATATGTGTTTTGATGCCTCTATATATATTTATGTAGAGTTAGTGCTTTGCGAAGCATCCACAGGCGTTGTTAGTTGGTCGGCCGTTGGCTGTACAAGTGACTGTGGTTATTTGTTTGTGTGTTTAGGTATTTACTTTGACTACGCAATTATATATATTATATATGACAGTGTGTGTGTTGACTTTGCTAAATCGTTCGAATAAATAAAACAACTTAAATCAAGACATTTTCAAGTGAGTGGATGTCATATGTAAAGCCTTGTGTTTACCCATATATTCGTATTGATGTATATATATAACGGTATATTACAAACATTTTCATGCTGTTTGTATGTTTAGTTGTGAGCACATAAATTGAAAGTCAAATGATGCAAAATTTATATGCGAAGTATGGAAGCCATATATGGTTGGTGGCCATTTTGCGGTTTTCGGTTAGAGGCTTAACTTATTTATCGAAATGTTAAAAAGCCAAAGGCGGACATGGAAAATAAAATGAAAGTGTTCCAGCTAAAAAATATGGAACTTAAGCATATTTATTTAAAGCATATTTAGGCAAAGTAGTCGAGTAGTGAATTCAATTCGAAAAATTACTCAGCAATGAATTCGCAGTTCTTAATTAAATATTTAAGAAATATTTATTATTTTTAAACATCGAAAATATGCTGTCAGTGTGCAGTATTACAAAACGGGTCTACATAAGCTTAATATAATATAATAATACTTATTGAAATGTATAAAAACATGTACCTCGGTAGCAACGCAGCTATAATACCATATGCAAATAAAAAGATTCAAAAAGACAAGAGCTTGGTTTTGATCATTCAGTTTATATTGCAGTTATGTTATATGCTATAGTGGTCCGTTTTACAAGCCAAACAAAAAAATAAAGCACTTTCGATTGCTTCTAGGAATTTCTTTCAGTGCAATTCAATCCCTTTTTTTTATATAATATTTGCCATACCTATTCCTTTAACCAGTCAATCGCATATTTGTGAATTGAGTGTGTACAAATGCCAACCAAGATCGACGCTGATAAATATTTATGTCTGCCGGAAAAGGTAAACAAAAACGGGTTTGAAGCACATTTGCTGTTTACCAAAGCAAACAATATCGGTTACACCGGGAAAACAGCTCGATTTCCAATGGCTAGCTAAGCAAAAGGCAGTAACGGATAGCTTGGAATGCGAGCAAGGGTTGAGTGTGGTGGTGAATGCAAGGAGAGGAACAACAAACAGGAAGTTTTTAAGTGGGCATCAGTTAAGAAAGGTTAAAGAGGCGAAACCATACAGATTGGTTTGTGGCTCCGTTATCAAAAGACGATAAGTATTTGAGTTGGAAAGTGGGTAGGCACGCCGCTGCGCCTCATCATTGAAGGAGTTGTTGTTGCTGTTTTGAAGAAATGTGCTTCTTTATCAACTTGAAATACAAAAAAATGGTATTGGTTTTATCGATGGTATTGAAAAATCAAATGAAAGACTTGAAAATATCATAAACTAAAAAAATTTCTGTTTTAATAAATAAAGTAAACACAAATATTATTAACTATGAAAAGGTATAATGAAATCGGAAACTCGAAAAGCTTTTGAAAAAAATAGTTCAAAGTATTTCCCTAAGGAGTCGCTTCGGACTTTGCCAAGAAGTTTATTGGTTGCGCAAAATTGCGGCAGTAAAAAATTTACCGAAATAAGGAAGAAACTTGCTATTTCGACTAGAACTGAAAAGCTGTAAATAGCATTTCAAAGTGTAATATATTGTACGAGCAATACTACAATTACAAGTATGTTATTTAAATAACTTTTACAAAATGCTAAACATTTCCATATATTTCCTTAATAAAAACAAAAAGTAAATAAATTTATGCAAAAATAAAACTATTATTGAATATGGTACTATGCAGCAACATGTTGGAATGCAAAATGTATATATGAACCACAGCTCCCCACTGCGTTGGTCAAATCCACAATCAAATAACGCTAAATTTTAAACACTCATTTGTTGTTGTTTATCTGTTCATTTCCTTGTGTGCATTTTGTCACCACGGACTGACTTGTGATGATGAACCCCACGTCAATTATTTGAATAGCGATCGAGGTTACTAAAATAAAATGAAAAAGTCAAAGCAACAAAATTTATAAGCGAATAAAGGTTACGAGAATTGCTCCACACAGCGCATCGGAATGTGTTAACTGAACTAAAACGATTTAATCTGCATGGCAGCAAGTCAGCAAGGCACACAAGTGGGCAACCCAAGTGAAAGTGCTAAATGGAGAGCTGAAAGGAAACCAAATGAGAGGAAACAATTTCGATATGCTAGCCTCTATGCATGTACATTTGTAAACACTTACATACCACATATATATATTATATATGGAAAGGTTTGTGCTCCTCGGTGGCTGCCAAGTCGAGTGACGGGCGTGCCAATGCTGACTAATGATGTACATATTTAGTTGTATAGAAGCACATTCCCTCGAGTCTGTAGCGGAATGCTAGAAGTGTGCACGAGACTGCTCTCAGACATCGACGTGGTCTATTAAAAAGCGACAACTGTCATGCCTTCATTTACGCCATCCACTGCTTCATTTGCATTCATTCACTAAAGCGCAGCATAGCGAAGTTAGATTATCAAAGTCAACCGACAGATCAACACACACAGCCGCACACACGGAGGGCAGCACTACTGCCGCTACGCCGAGGTAAGTAAATACGGTCATGGCCTGTTGAATAAGCTGCCGGCTTTGGACGCTGTCAGGCACTGTCAGCGTTACTCAATGTTGGGGAAAATCATTAAATTCAACTTTTGGCGGCAACTTAGAGCGGATGGCGATAATAATGACCCACTACAACAACATGCACGCCAACTATTGTAAATATACTTGTATGTTTAAGCTAAGAATTTTTACTTGTACTACCCACATTTACAAGTATATATCTGTAAATCGCAATGGAGTGAGGGCATTATTCAAATCGGTGCAAATGAAAAATATGCCCAAAAGGCAAGCGACAGAATCTACAAACCAAAAATCAGCGCAATAACGTGCAGTTTGTGGAATAACGTTGACGAAACTGCTAAAGAAGAGAGAGAAAATAGTTGGAAAAATGCGATGCCGCACATAGTTAAAAGACACTCGGCAGCCGTTTGCTGTCTACGAGTCAAATCACTCACATAGTTACGAGCGGTTTACTTATACGCCTGCATTTAGCTGTGAATACCGACTCATCTGTGTATAACTATATGTTATATATGTATATATGTGAGTCTAACTTTTTTTTTCATTCACTGCCTTTCACTTTCCCAAGCGATTCAATCAGCTTGTCTGTCAAGTAGTCAGGCAACAAGGACATTCGCTCACAGCTGTTAAGTGAATTAAAGTGTATTTACTTATAGTTTGGCTGTTGTGATTTTAACTTTCCTCCCATCTTGGTCACCATTTTGTGCATAATCACTATAAACGATAAGTAAATTGAAACATAAAAAAGCGAACGAACGCTGGACGATAAAGTTAGACGTTGTTGTTGCAGTAAAGCTTAAAGTACCTAAATGTTGCAACAGCTGTGTTTTGCCATTGGAAAGTTAATATTTTCTTAATTTTGAACTATCGAAAGTAGTAAAGGAAAGTTTCAGGGAATTTCTTCAGCAAAAAAATATTGTAGGTAATAAAAAGCAAGGAAAATGGCTGAAAGTAAATAAAACAAGAAAAATCTTTAACTTTGACTGAACCGAAGCTATAACATTCTTTACATGTTCATTTTTTACAACGTAAAAGTGTATAAAAAGATCTTTGCCTTTATTTTGGTTGGTCAGTTTGTATGGCAGCTATATGCTATAGTAATCCGATCTGAATAATTTGTTCGGGGTTTGTAGCGCTGCCTTGGATAATAATCTCTGTCAAAATTCGTGTGAAATAAAAAAAATGTCCATTCAAGGCTTTGAATTTGATCGGATATATATATGTATTATAGCGCTGCTTTGAATAATAATTTGTATTAAATTTCGTGAAGATACTTTGGCAGCTAAAAACATTTCCTTACTAGCGCTTGATTTCGATCGATCAGTTTGTTGGAGCAGCGTCTTGGGAAGAAAAGGACATGTGTAAAATCTCAGATCGAATATCTCAAAAACCTGTGGATATATAATACAAATAGACGACCATACCTAAATCGGCTCGGCTTGGCAAGCTGATAATATATATATACATACTCTATAGGATCTACGGAGTTTCCTTAGAGCTGTTACAAATTTTGTGGCAGACTTAAAATGCCCTGCTCAGGGTATACAAATATTGTGCGGAGAGTAATGTCGCTGGAACTAAATAAAAATATTTTCTCCCAAAAGAACTACCCTAAGCGCACTTATTTTAGTCTTTCTTTGTTCGGTTCGACGGAATATGTGTAATGTAGCCTAGTAAATTTTGAGTCAGGGTCGGATCTTAGAGCATTTGCAAGAGAGAGCATACCACACAGGAACTTTGATGGTGAACAGCCAAAAAACCTTTTACTTTTAGGCAAGAGGGAACTTAGTAACATCATAGAGATCATCACGACCACACCTAGCTCCAAAAAGTTGATTTAAGTGGCCTCAGCAGAATGCAGAGCATGTGAGGAGTATGATATGATTCTGGAACATATCCTTTTTGAATGTCCAGCCTTCAGCCGGTTGAAACGGTATCCCAATGCTCTAATTAAGGGGGTATTCTATCTAGAGGCATCAACTTCAGGTAATTTTTGAGCAGTTATAAAAAAAGTTAATTAATTATTTTACTATCCATTTTTTATTAGTTGTTTATTAACATCATAAGAATACAGAAAAAAATCAAAAAATTTAAAAAGTTAAAAATTTTTTAAATTAGTAGCTGATGAATGGCCTGATGATGATGAGCCGGTGGGTCTCTAAAAATTGGAACACCACGTCATATCCACGATTTCAATCCTCCTGCAATCTAAAATAAATAAAAAATTATTTAACTAGAATAATGGTACAATGTCTGGTTTTATGGAAAAGTGGGAAAAAAGTTGTTTATCGAAATGGCGACTGCCGGAAAAAAAACATTTTTTGTACCACTTTTTTTTGACTGTTTCGAATTTTTTGAAAATAGTAACTTTGGAGATGTGGATAATTCCAGCCATAGACAAGTCTATAGAGAAGACTCTCTAAAAAGTTCCCGTAAATCGGTCCAGTAGAACCTGAGAAATCGTGGGTGTCGTTTAAAAAAAAACAGTTTCGAAAAATAATGTATATCAACAAATCTGCTGAGATGCTGAATAAAGCTTAATTACGCCTCTCTTTTCAACCAACCAAACAACCAAATTTCTTAGTGATTTGGGTCAAAACTTCAGTACGGTAGATGATAATATTTTTTACAGAATGCTTATTTTGTCTACAATATTTAATTTACATTACATAATTACTGTAATGCAATTACAGCACTACAGTAAAATTATGACTAATATTTAGCCAAATCCATTTAACAAAATAAACAATGGCAATGAAGAATCCCTCAAATTATTCGAGGTTTTAAAGACACTAACTTGAAGTGGAAAATACTGTTGCATACATTGGGCGTACAAGCGAGCGCAGGGTCTGAGACGGTATGACGGTATGACAGATTATGTTAATTCGTGCAAAGGCAGAAGTGATACAAGTAAATGAACTGCACACTACCACATATAGGATTGCATTTTATGCTGTGTATGGCTGTGTATATTGTATATGTGTATAACTTTGGATGCACTGTTTGCTTTATTTAGTCAGCCTTTTTGTTGTTGGTGCAAATGAAATGTGACACGCGCGGAAATGAAACAAACAACCTCGTGTTGTGTACTCAATCGTTCGTGTGTCAGTGCGCGGGTGCTTACAATCGTATATGTGTGTGTGCATATGGGGTCTACCTTCGTCTGTGTAAAGTTGACTTTTTGTTGGATAACGCGTCTTTCGTGTTTATTTGTTTGTGCGGCATTTTACATTTGTTTGTTTTTCGTTGCGGAAAATGACACAAAAATGCATTAAAAGCCGCGACATGTTGGCGCGGCGCAGTGCGATCCACATCCTCAGAGCAGAGAAAGGCTCGACTCTGTTTTGCTACAACAATTACGTATATGCCCTGCAAGGAAATTCCGAGGTAGTCAGACGTGGAACTAGTTCAGAAGCAGAAAAATTTCGTCTATTTCGCAACAGCTTATGGCGCTTAAAATACGCAGCATACTTAGCATGTACCTTAGAACAAGCAGCTTCTCTTGCCTCACTTTTTAGAAAAAAGTTTCTGCTACTGGAGGCGGCGTCTTTGTTGTGATACGTTTCCAGATGTTGCATTTTCCTGTAGAGCCTCTATACTATATGAGTTTGTCTATGTGCATATATTTGCGGTAGATATTACACGCCGCAAAGTGCCACTGATGCGCTGAAGTACACATTTGCGATATCGCAGATGGAAAATATTGGTGCCAGTATATATGCGAGTACAGTGTTTATAGTTGTAAAGTGAAGTGAAAATTAAATGTATAAATGAATAAAAATAACAATTATTTCATCCAAAAGTGGTTCTACATTACCACTTATGTAACCGGGTGTTTGTTTGGGAGAATTATAGAGCCAAGTGTGAAATTTGAAATGATTGAGTAATACAATATATCGATTCCCATTAATCATAAACGGATATGTATATTTTTGTAGTGAAACCATGATAGAAAAAGATGAAATGTTTATACCGTTTCTGCCTGGGTTAGTGCAAGTGAAGTTATGGATTACTGTTCCACCGATATTTCGAAGTTCCCTTTCGAAACGAAGTAATGTTAGTAAGAGATAAATGATGATGACATCCTTTGCATGTTTGCACTCAACCAAAAGCTTCTACTCTCTTGTCAAAATAAATCACATGTAAAAGCAACAGCAAAGTCATCGAGCTGAACCATTACAAGAGAGTATTAAGACCCCTCATTAGTGTGGTATAGCCACTTTTTTCAGTGCTACCAAGTTTTGTTTTGCTTATTTTAGATCAGTTTTAGTAGTGTGAATGGTTCAAATGAAAAATAAAAATACAAATTTCTTTTATTCTTGTAGTTTCAAAACTTAAAACTGAAAATCAAATATATTAATTTATAGAACACAAAAATAAAGGTTTATTACAATGTTTTTTAATGCAAAAAAAAATTTCTTCACTAAGAAAGAATCATAACACAATTGCGCATGCGTCAGAAGACATGCTAGCGCAAGGTTGCACCACAAGTACTGCCCGTTTGTTTGAGCATCTGGTACAGTTTGTTCGATTCAATGGAGAGTAACGCTTGACAAATCGAAGACAGCTCATATGAAATAAATTTTAAGGGTTTAAATGTCTGTTTCTTATAGAGAAAAATTTCTATTATAGGAAAGGTGTAATGAATACAATTTTGTATATCATGAATAGTATTATTGTCTGTATTATGTCGTCTCGAAATATATTAAGCTTTTTACTGAAATCTACCTCCGTGCGGCTCCTTACATAATCTTACATAGTCAAAATATTCAAAATAATAAAAGAAAGAGAGCGGGAAATGACAAACCCAGAAAAAATCTCAACTTATCAACAGAGAAGCAAACAAACAACAAATGTCAACGTGATTGAATTGTGAGTGAAAATAATGAAGTTGCTTCATAAATATTACTTAAAATATATGCAAAAGGGGAAATTATACTTTTATGCGCTCATATGTTATGCAAGCACGAAAGGAAGAATTCTGCATATACACACACACATGTTGCACTTATATATTGCCACGTACACATATGTTTCTTACCACCAAAGTCGAAACGTATTTCTATACCCTGAACAGTGTATATTAAGTTTGCCACGAAATTTGTAACACTCAAAAGGAAACGTATTAAATATAGATATACATAAATGATCAGCATGACGAGTTGAGTCAATTTAGTCATAGTCCCTCAGTTTCTGATATATCGATTTTAAGTTTGGCACACATTATTTTCTCCCTCGTCCTCATTTGTCGGAACTACCGTTATCGAGCCACTTTAGCATTTAGCATTTAGCTGCCATAGAAACTGAACTATCAAAATCAAGTTCTTGTATAAAAAGCTTTATTATCTGTGAAAGGTATTATAGCTGCAGTGCAAACGAAGTAAACGTCTTTTCTTGTTTTTGTTAAAATTGCTGCACCTGACATTGTATGCGTCTATACAGTTCTTCCAACTTATATATATATATTGTATTTATAATACATAGTTTACCTGTCATTTGTATTAAGATTAAGCTGACTCTCACAGTTAAGTAATTAATCCGTTTGCTTCTCAGTGTGAAATTCGCAGATATTAAATTTTCTTTTAAAAGCCAAATTATTTATTTGAATGCGCTAAATTGTACATCAAGCTCCGCCTACCGCAGGCCTTGACTCAGGCATTTCAACAGTGACTACTTTAACCACAAACTCACTTGCCTAATTCGTAGGTTGGTTACACGTCTCCACTGCTCACCCTCCTTACCTCTTTTCTACAACAAATATAGTATGGGCGTTAGCCTGTCGTTTTTTCCACTTTTTATAATCTTCATGTGGGTGTCAGTGCTGCCAACAAGGTGCAATAAATATGAATAACGAGCACGACGTGAGTGCAGCAAATAAGCCAATGAAAAGTAAAAGCAATGATAACAACAACAATGAGCGCCCATCAAGAGTAGCTACAGCAAAATAGTATGGTTGCGCTGCTAAGTTGCGAACTGGGTATCACAGTTTGAGACTCTGAAAAGACCATGCATGCAGCTAACCCAACACATTTGTGAATACATGTTGCGCTTGTGTCCTGCGGCGTTGAGCTGGGAATGTGACATAAACACAGCACTTTCCGACTTTAATACTTTAATGCAAAAGTATCAAAAAAATATTTTGGCGTTTTCGTTTTGTATAATATTTTATGAATGAAACGTCTCGCTTTGCATGGGAAAGTTAAAGATTGAAATGCGAATATATACATATGCTTGAGTAGAGAAGTATTGTTAAGAGCTTAATCTATTTGTGAATTTCAAAAAATCGATTTTCATTTTGCATTTATATCGTATCTGCATATATTTGAGAATATTATTCGAAAATTTAAAATTGACTGGCAAAACTTTTCGGAGATATGAGCGCATTTGTAAGAATTTTTTAACTTATTGTACTACGATCTAGCATTTTCTAAAAATAAAAGAAGAACAAAAGTTGAATTCGGTTCGGTTCGGCTATATATAATCTGAACGATTTCTTCAGAGATTGTACGATTGCCTTAAACAATAATTCGAGCCAAATTTCGAGAAGATATCTCGTTAAATTAAAAATTTTTCAATATAAGGATAATATTTTGATCGTTCAGTTTGTATGGAAGCTAAGAATGGTATATGATATAGTGCAAGTGTGCAAATTCATATCAATATCTCAATAACTAATTCGCGTATATATAGACAGACGAACATGGCTAAATCGACTCAGCTCGTCATGCTGACTATTTATATAGGTATATATTTTACATAGTTCCCGAAGTTTTCTTCTGGGTATTACAAACCTCATGGCAAACTTAATAAACCCTGTTCAGGGTATAATTAAAAGGAAACAACTCGATAAAATATTTATAATATATAAGAAATTTCCTCAGTACTCACTTGTGTTCTTTTTTTATTCGCCTAGTAAGCTATGACCTTTGTAAATCGCTCTCACAAATTTTTCACATATTGAGTGACATTTGAACTGCACAAAATGTTGGTAATTTTTCATGCACTTTCACATGTATGCTCTTAAGCTCTAAAGAGAAAAGTAGCTTAGCTTTTACGAATTTGCTATAACCTCTATTTGCTTTCAACATAATCGATTTTGGCTTCGTTTTAATATAAATATATTTTTAGTGTAACAAAAATTAATTTTTAATAAAATTAATAACGTTACTAAATATGTGTGCGTTGGAAAGAAATTTGCTCATCATCAA